CTGCAAAACTTTGGAGTCAGATTTTCTGATAGATTTTAAAGCTAATGGCTTACCTTGCTTTTGAGGTTCATCTGCTTCTAGCTCTATCTCGTGACTTCTGAGGGAGCTGACAAGTTCCTCCAGAGAGATTTTGTTGAGATCCTTGGCTAGCTTAAGCGCTGTGACCATTGGCCTCCATTTTTTTGGCAAGCTTCTGATGATCTTCTTAACGTGATCAGCAGTAGAATACCCTTTGTCAAGAACTTTTAGACCAGCAACAAGAATTTGAAATCTTGAAAACATAGTTTCTATTGATTCACTCTCTTCCATCTTGAATGCCTCATACTTCTGAATGAGTGCAAGGGCTTTGGTTTCTTTGACTTGAATGTTGCCTTCATGCGTCATTCTCAGAGAGTCAAACGTATTCTTTGCAGTGTCTCTGTTTGATATCTTCTCATATTCTGAATAAGAGATGGCGCTGAGAAGAATTGTTCTGGCCTTGTGATGATTTCTGAACTCACGCTTTTGCTGATCAGACATTGCTTTCTTGTCAATCTTCTGACCACTTCCATCCACTGGGTGCGTGTATCCATCAGTCACCATGTCCCACAGATCATCATCATGGGCCAGAAAGAAACTCTCAATTCTGTCTATCCAGTAGTCAAAGTTCTCTCCATCAAAGACTGGAGGTTTGCCACTGAATCTGTCTCTTTCTTCATTGTTGTCATTGCTGATGTTTTGATTTGGTCCTGCCATTGTGTTTTTCTGACGCTGGATCTTGTACTGACACGGTTAAGTGTTATAAGCTCAGAACCAGGCGCTCTGATACCAATTGAAGATTTGAAAAACACAAGAAGGGGGGTTGAATTGTAAAACTTAAAACAAATGCTTAGACAACACAGTATTTTTATCCTGGTTCGTTTGATCTCAAACTACTTCAGTCCACCCGTCAAGGTGATTTTGCCTCTCTCCAACGAGGTCTTAATCCACTATATTCAAAGGATTACGATAACTACTTTAACAACTGTTAAAGCCTTCTTGAGTATAACCACAAACCGGTTTATCTCAAGGAAATCTTTTACAAATAAATTGAACAATGATATGTTAATGTTTTCTAACAAAACAATATATCACAAATGTGATAATTACACAATTTAAGCTTGGAATAAAACTGAATTTGCTAAAGCGTTTGAGTAAGCGTGGTTTTGAAGGCTTGGCAAATTATGTGAGTGCATGCGTGCGTCTTTTCTCAAGCAGATTTGTTTATATAGGCAAGGCAGAGATACGTTGTCCATAAAGCCATTTAAATGACAATAACGCACTTTCCTTTTTGAGAAGATCTTGTCTGAAGAGAGCCGTTAGCATTAACTTCTGTCTTGAATACTTAATAACGCTTCAGAGTCTTCTTTGCTTATGATAACGCTTCAGAGTCTTCTTTGCTTTAACTTATGATGACGCTTCTGAGTGTTGATGACTTGGTAAAGATCTTTGATCAGAGTCAGAGTGTATATGTTTATGCGCAGATTCTGGTCATCAAGCTTCAGCATATGATCTGGTAGCTTCAGCGTGTATCACATGTTACTGATCTTCTGATGCTTCTGATGCTGATGCTGATTCCATCAGAACTTCTGTATATACAGAACATAATTTTAAGAAGCATATTTGTCTTATATATAAATCTTACAATTTATTTATTCTTTGTATTTTGTTATCATCAAAACTCTAATTAAGGGTTGTAGAATCAAACTATGTTCTAACAGTTACACCTTCCTTTTATCAAAAAATGTGTGTTTATCATTAAAGAGGATTTTATTAGTTTCTTCAATTGCTTTCATTCCGGATATGTTTTGTCAAAGGCGGTAACTTCTTCTTTCTTGACGTTGGTTCCTAAATCCCCTAATCCAGTTTCCTTGGACGATTATAGGCCTATTTGCTTAGTTGGGTGCATGTATAAAGTAATTGCTAAGTTATTAGCCGTGAGACTCAAAAGGGTGTTGCGTTCGATTGTTTCTTCGTGCCAAGGTGCTTTTGTGCCAGGGAGATAACTTCTTGACAAAGTGTTGGTAGCAAATGAAGTGGTAGATTTTGCTAAGAAGAAGGGTAGGAGTTGCCTTTTGTTCAAAGTGGATTTCGAGAAGGTGTACGACAAAGTTAGTTGGAACTTTTTAAGATTCTTGATGGATAAAATGGGGTTCATTGTGGCATGGAGAAAATTGATGGACCTTTTGATTTTTCAAAGTAAGTTATCGGTTTTAGTTAATGGTAGTCCAACAAAAGAGTTTTAGGTGGAGAAAGGTTTGAGACAAGGGGATCCTCTTTTGCCTTTTCTCTTTGTTTTGACAGCAGAAGGTTTAACGAGGTTAGTAAGAAGATCCATGGAATTAGGGGAATATTGTGGTTTTGATGTTAATGGAAGATGTATTGTTGATATTCTACAATTCGTGGATGACAATTTATTGGTAGGTGAAGGTTCTTGGAAGCACGTTTGGGCTTTAAAGTCGGTTTTAAGAGCTTTTGAACTTGTCTTGGGGCTAGGAATAAATTACCATAAGAGCAAATTGATTGGCATTAATATAAATAACAACTTTGTGGAAGTCGCTTCTTTTGTTCTTGGTTGTAAGGTGGAATCTAGTAATTTCAATTTTCTTGGAATTCTGATTGGTCTAAATCCTAGAAAATATTCAACTTGGGTTCCTCTTTTGAATAAAATGAAGAAGAGGTTATCGGGTTGGAAGAATAGGTTTTTAAGCCTAGGAGGTAGGATTACTCTTTTGAAATCTATTCTTGGCTCTCTTACTATCTTCATTATGTCCTTCTACAAGATGCCGAAGAAGGTGGCTAAGGTTGCAAGTATTCAAGGTAACTTCTCGTGTGTGTGTGAGGGGGGGGGGGGGGGGGGGTGGAGGGAAGGAGAAAGATTCATTGGGTGAGTTGGAAGAAGGTTTGCTTTCCTCTTGACAAAGGGGGTCTCGGTGTTAAAAATATTTCAGATTTCAACTTAGCCCTTCTTAATAAGTGGAGGTGGGGGATTTTACAAGGCTTTGATAATCTTTGGCTTAATTTATAAAAGCCCGGTATGGTTATATCTCTTTGAAGGTATTTTATGGTGAGGGTTGTTCGAAAGATTCTACATTTGCTTCCTCTTGGTGGAAGGATATTGTTAAGATTGGTAAACTTTCTAGTCAAGATCCTATAGAGGCCTTTTGCAATTTTGAGATTGGAAAATGTTTTTCTACTCCTTTTTGGGAAGCTTGTTGGTTGGATGAAGTTAGTTTGAAGGATAAATTTTCGGAGTTATACTTGGTTTCTAGTTTGAAAAGGGTGTCGGTGGTCGGGATGGGGGGTTGGAAAGATGGAGTTTGGTTTTGGGGGGATATAGGAATAAACGTTAATTTGTTGTCTTCTTTCAATCGATTGAGACTTTCTTCCCTTTTATCGGGTTTAAGAGGGATTATCTCGGGCTCGAATGTTCATGATAAGGTGTCTTGGTATGCGGAGATAAGTGGAGTATTTTCGAATTCGGCTTGTTACTCTTTTTATTCTCGGTTTAGAATTCTGTTTGGCCCTTGTAATAGAGTAGAAGAGGCTTCGAGCAAGATTTGGAAGATGGAGGTGCCTTTAAAGATCAAAGCATTTGGTTGGAGGCTTTTTATTAATAGAATTCCCATTAAAGATCTTTTGATGAAAATAAGTATTTCCCTTTAGACTCTTTGTTATGTTCTTTTTGTGGAAATGATTTGGAAAGCATGTAACATTCTTTTTTCAAATGTAAAGTGGTGAAGCTTATTTGGAAAGAGATCTCTTTGTGGATTGGTTGGTGCTTATTTGTAAAAGGAAAAAGGTGAGGGAGGGCAAATTGGGTGTAGTTTGACTTGCTATTTTGTGATCCATTTGGTTATCGTGGAATGAGATTTGTTTTTGAAATGATGGATGGAATATAGATAATATGGTTTGAAACATTAAAATTTTAGTTTGGAAGTGGTGGTTCATAGGAGAAATTAGTCATCCCAACTATAATTTTTATGAATTTAACAAAGATTTTATGTTATTTCTTAGATAACTCTATTTAGTCGATAATTTCTCTCTTTTATCAGATTTCTTCATAATCTTGTTGTAATCAGGTTGGAGAATCCTTAATTCTTCCGTTAAAATAAACTTAGTTGCCAAAAAAAAAAAAAAAATTACAGTATACTCTAATTGCACTAGTCAAAGTTTGAATCAAGCTACTATATCAACAAAAAAAAGTCAAAATAACTGTGAGTCATAATTGTTAAATATTAGAGGTGTTTTACATTTCAATTACCATGATTCTTAAATTATTAGAGGTGTTTGATTTTTTTTAATCATATTTAAAATATCACTTTTGAATGATTGTGATGATTGTGTAAAATATTTTTATTATAATAATTTAATTTTTTTAAATAATATTTTATTAATAGTTTTTCAATAGAGATTGAAATATTGACTTATTAAAATAATTTTATATATATTCTTTTCACTATAAGTCAAAAAGAAAATATGCTCTTATCCATGAAACACTATTCTTTAATTTCAATCTCTATCTTAAAACAATTTCAAACTCATTTTTACCCCCCTTTTATCTTTTTTCCATTTATCTCTTACAATCACAAAAAATGAAAATTTTTCCATTTGTCTCTTCTTTCCATACTCTCCACACATATTTAATTTCCTTTCCCTTTTCCCTTTTCATTTCTCATCCCTCACACACCTTACAAGAGAACCTACTTGTCACATTTACCTACGACTTCCTTTGTCTCTCTTACCCTCTCTCACACGCTCCTCTACTCTTTTACTACAATCCAAGAACCTCTTCTTATTTTACTTGCACCCTTCTCATAAGTAACTTACACACACAGAAATGCTACTTTACTTTCTCACCGCTGCAGATCTGAAACTCTTTCGATCTTCAAAAGAACTCATTTTCATTTCTGGGTTTTGATATTTGCCTTATTGGGTCATTGAAAAACCATTCTTTTAAGGATTTTTTTGGAAGGAAAAAAATGGGGTCTAGTAGTAGTAAAGGTGCTTCTTCTTGTAGTTCGTCTTCTTCTTGTAGTTTACGAAAGAATCGATCCAAGAGACATAGAGGTTTTCCTTCTTATTGTCTTGGAACAACTTCTGGATCTCGTGACAGTGATAATGATGAACGGGTAATGTTTGTTTTCTTATTTGAAAATTTTACCAATGCCACTTTTTTTTTTTTTTTGTATTGGGTTTTGGATTGTATGATCAAGGTTCTACTAGGATCATACATACTGCTAAGGATTTTGAAACTTTTTTTTTTATATCTCTTTTAACTGTTAGATTAATTTGATTTTAAAGAACAAGATTTGCATTCTTTTATCTTTCATTGAAAAAATTATATGAATTGATTTTTGTTATTATATTGCATGGCTGAATTTCATGCTGTTTTCAAATGTTTTTGATTTGATTTAAAATATGATATTCAATGTCACTACATTGGTGTTTCTCATTAGGATTTTATTGAATTAACTACTGTTTTTTGTATATATGCTTTCAGAATAAAAACTATGATGTTGAAACTGAAAGTTGTTCGTTTTTGTGGTTGTTTCTTGCCTTGCAATTTACTTCTGAAAGACTACCAAAAAATGGTTTCTTAATAGAGTAACTAATGTGTTCATTTCTTGTTACGATTCACAAGTTTTGGAAATTCTGATGTATATGACTTGTTTGGCCCCGTGTCGCTTTCGGAGTTTTGGTTATTGGTCAAAGTTTTGTGGTGTTAACAACTATCTAACTTTAGTTTGAAACTTGTGCTTTAGGTTTGTGATCAGAATAAAGTAAATGGAAGTGATGTTACATACACCAGCAGCAATGAAATTGACTCGGATGAAGCAAAATCAGAGTCTTTTAGAAAAGTTAAACCTGATGAGATACCTTGTATGCCTTCTAACATTGATCTTGATGAGTGGAGTCACACTGAATCCAGAACCAGTAGTATCCCAGCTCACGCTTCTTCAACTCAGTCCACGAATTCTATGAGTCGGTTCCTTTCTCGGTTTAGTCTCATTCCGGGTAATATAAGCTTCAGACTTAGCAGAACCACCAGTTTGGGGTCATCTCGACCTTGTCCTGATTCTTCGCAAAGTCTTTCTATGTTTAACAATGAAGACGAGCTTAGTCTCCATAATAGAAATCAAACTCAACAATATAGTGGCGGCAACGGGTCTTTTGTAAATCCAGTCCCTATACAGTATCATGGAGATGCTTCTAATAGTTTGAGTTCAAATGTCCCGATATTCGGTTTGGCTAGCAACTTGTCGAGCAGTCCTACACTATCTCCTCTCGAAGATACAGTTAGAGATGGATATGACGCACGAGAGATGCTTGGCATGAACGTGTTTTCTCCAAGAGTTAATACCGAGGCAGCAAATGTTATGGATAGACGAAATGGAGCTCGAGAGCCTGTTGACCGCAATGTTCGTTTCAGCCGAACTTTAAGTGTTGGAAGGCTTCGAGACAGAGTTCACCGCCGATCAGGATTGGCTGACTTCAACTTTTGCCCTCTGCAACAAGAGAGAGATGCTAGCGAGGATAGTGTAAGACAAGTAGGGGAGAGGGGTACAGGAGTGTCACCATCTGATCGAAACACTTTAAATTCTCATACTACATCCGGATATCCTCTACCAAACAGGTCTAGCTCTCCATTCAGAACCCAAGACCACGAGGTTGAGGCTTCACGGTCAAGAGAAACTAGGTATCAGGATCTACTAGAACATAGGTCCAATTTCCTTGAACGGAGAAGAAGAATACGATCTCAGGTTTGTGATTTTTTCTGAACTTTTAGTAACAGCTAATGATTTAATAATATGTAACAAATTTCTCCATGCCATGTATTTATTATTCAAAGTTAATGATCCCGATTTCAAATGGCTTAGGTTCGTGCTCTTCAGCGGTTGGGCAGCCGGTTTGAAAATCTGTCTGGACATGACAGATCATGTATCTTGTCTGGTCAACATAGAAATGGTCGTTGTACATGCAGAATAAGTAGCCGCGAGAACAATTCAAATTCAAACGATGATACAAATGCTAGAGCTAGCATATCAAGAATAGTGATGTTAGCTGAAGCCTTATTCGAGGTAACTTTAATAGTACACTCTTATTTTCTAATTCTTGAGGCCATTCATTTCTAACAAGTCGAATATTTTGTACATATTTTTTATTAGGTTCTGGATGAAATTCACCAGCAATCAGTGGTTTTATCTTCCCGCCCTTCTGTATCTTCTATCGGATCTGTTCCCGCGCCTGCTGAAGTTGTCGAATCCTTACCTGTTAAAATATACACAAAGTCACACAAACATCAAGAAGAACCTGTACAGTAAGTACTCCGACATTTTTTGTAGAAAATTTGAAAATGCAAAAATAACTTTTTCATTGTTTGCGAGAAAACAAATTTTTCATAGCTTGTTTTTCCATCTTCTCTATCACAATTGTTCACTGTATGGCAATCCTTTAATTTGACAGATGCTATATATGTCTTGTGGAGTATGAAGATGGAGACAGCATGCGAGTACTTCCTTGCCATCATGAATTTCATACAACATGTATAGACAAGTGGCTGAAGGAGATTCACAGGTATGCCGGATCACGAATTTTGGCTCTTGTTAACATTAACAATAAAGTCATAAACATCAAATTCATATTATAAAAGTTTCTGTTTATTACATATTGTCCTGCCAGTGGAGTGTAGTGTATGCATGCGATGGGTTAAAAAATGATTTAGTGTAGCACGGGCACCTTTAGGAGTAGACTTGTCGCGGTATCCAACACTTGTATGACACCCGTACGACACGTATTAGAAAAGTATCCTCATAGTCCACTGTATCTTACCGGCCATAATTCAAGTATACTCATCAATGTAGTCAAGCACGAGATCTTAAGTAGGATCGGTCGGCTTGTAAAAGATCATAAAACTTAGATCATTAGCACAACACGTCAGAACCTACCAAAGAGAAAAACGGTAATTTCATATATATTTATACACGTACACAAAAACATGGAGATTATAATCCAGACCAAAAAAAAGCCCAACACACTTTTTTTAACAATCTTGCTTTCAAAAGCTCGATATTGTCAACATCAGCGATGAAAACGATCTTTCTCTAATCATAGCATTCTCAGACATCTCTTCTACGATCTTACGATCCAACACTCAATCTTGACTACTCGAACCTCATAGACCACTATAAAATGACTCTCGGTTTACTTTCACAAATACTTTTCTCTAACCCCAATTTTTTATTTTAAAAAAATAATAGAAATTTACACAAACAATAGGCTCCATCATAAATCTGATATAGGAGCTTTATGGCAATAACTCTTGGCAATTCATTTCATATGAAAAACTTTAAGTGGTCCCTCCCACCTGTAATAAATGTTGAAATTTCTTTTTCATCTTTACATGCTCTGATTTTTCCATGCCACTAGCCTTTTATCTGTTATAAATAATTATGTTAGTAACTTTACATTACATGGAGATTTGTATTGGAAATGTGTAACTTTAACTTTTTTTTGTATATTTTCATTATTGTTCCACAGGGTATGTCCACTATGTCGGGGAGATATTTGTATATCAGATTCACTGCCAACAGAGAACTAAACTTGCAAATTGTTTATCAGCTGCATATACACTTGTGTAACTCTATTAGTATCATAAGTCTCAACCTTGTATTATCATTGTTGTCAATGATCATTTAATACAGTTTCCTCAATAAAAAAATATTAAACATTGGTTGAAATAGACAGAGAAACAAATTCATAGCTCTTTTATTTTTCTTCCTATCTCTATCTATGTATCTGTAACTCATGACACATTCATGCAGTAAGAGGATTCGTGACCGTGAGCTCTACGGTTACTGATCATCTGCCTCCATGAGTACAAACAGTCGCTATTTGCATGAATTCATGTTGTCACTTAGTGAGGGATTCTGCCAACACTTGAGTGTGAGACATTCTTTTTGGTCTGTCCAGATTTGTGAAACTTACATGATTCCACAAAAGAAGGGGGAAATTGGTGACTTTAAGCAAAGCATCTTTGACTGAAGTGCTACACTTTAAACTGGACAAAAGTGGTTGAAAAAAAGAAACGGTTGTGCACGCTTGTGACATTCTTTTCACTTTTCAGAGGAAAAAAGGTAAAGGGAAATAAACATGAGAGTTGAAGTTTGAGAATATAAGGAAGCTGTCTAGTTTATTGGAAGAGTCGTGATTTCTTATTGTCTCCTTAAAAGAGCAAGTTTGTACAACCTGCTATGCTTTTTTGTTGTCGGGTTAAAGTTGATCTCACACACAAGTTTTTTGAATCAGCTAGTGTTGATGTGAAATTCAAAAGAAAATTTGTAAATTATGTTGGTGTAGAGTCATGTGACATGCATGCAACATGGTAATTATTCTTCAGTATATCTTTGAATTCATTGGTGTTATTTTGAAGCCAATCGACAAATCATTCTAAAATTAGAACGACAATGTGAATATGAATAACAGCACTAACCGCAACAAAAATGACAAGCCTCTCTAAGAGACATAAAATTAAAAAAACGTGAATAGTTTACATAAATTAATGAAAAGTTTACAGTCAATATAAAATAATGAAAAGTTTACATAAATTAGTTTTTAGAGAATCTCATATATAGAAATGCAAAATATTTTTTTATCATCTTTATTAACGATTATTTTTTACTATACTTATGTAAATATCATGAAAAATAAAAGTGAAACCCTTGATATTTTAGCATATTTGTTACTGAAATAAAAAATCAATTCAGTAGAAAAATTAAAAGGTTTCATAGTGATAGAGACATAAGATTTGAAGTTAAATTGTTAATTTTTTTTATAAATTACATGAAATTACTGTACCATATTTCTGAATGATAAAGTTGAAAGAAAAAATAAAACTTTATCTGAATTGATTATTGTTATTATGTGAAATTATGGTGTTAGGTTTTCATTGAAAGGGAAATGTTATTCATTGTTTGTTATATGTTGAATAAAGTTCTCAAATTCAAAGATAAGTGTCTCTCCTTATGAAATTCTAAAGAAAAGACACCATAACTTGTCTTATTTTAAACATGAGGTTGTTTGTCTTATGTCACGATATCTAACCTAAAGCTAGTTAAAATCGCAAGTATAGTATAAATATAAGTATAGTATATAAATGTATATTAATTGGGTATGCAAGAAAAAACAAAACATGCAAGTCTTATGACATGAATGTGCTAAGGTGATCATAAAGTTAGTGAGGCACTAGATCGAGCTATATTCTAGTGATTAGGAACAATGAGAACAATAAACAATAAGAAATATCAATGTTCGGATAATAGTAAGATAGAAGCAAGAACGAAGGTAATATTTATGGAAGGAGAAGAAGAAAACAGAAAGTTGTTATGAAAATAGTTAGAATTGTAAGTGTATATTTTCTTATTATTTACACTGAACTATAAGAATGGTTATATACCTGTACAAGAGATGTGTGGATGGAAATATAACACGTGTCATACATCCAGAAACAAATAAAATACAGAAAAGTAATATATACTGTTATATATATATTCTCCCTCAAGTTGGAAAGTGAATGCTACAAATTCCAAACTTGTCCAAATTGTGCTTCAATATGGGAGAATGTAATGGTTTGGTAAATATGTCCTCAAGTTGGTCATGGATAGATATGGGAAGTAAATGTATCAGCTTGGAATTAATCTTTTTGTGCACTACATGGCAATCCAATTCGATATGTTTGCTATGTTCATGGAAGATAGGATTGTTGTAACACCCAAATTCTATCCGACAATTATTATAAAATCAGAGTTATAAAAATTCAACAACTAAATCAGGATGCTAAAATTTCAACTTAAAACAACGGTATTCATTACAGATACATATCACATTAAACTTGGATGAACCAACAACAACATAATTTAATCTTTTGAAAACAACAACTTTCATAATTACGCAGCGGAATTAAATATTCAACTTAAAAGAATATATAATCTTCATCCAACTGAAACAACTTCAAATAACAAGTATTTAACAAACAACAACTTAAAGTTCAATCAACTGAAATAATAACAACAATAAAACAGCAAGCGTTCATCCCCCCGAGTGTTACGTATCAAAGCAATGACACTAACTCGAACTACTGAAGGTAAACTGCCTTCACTCTGAATTACCTGCACGTTACCAATATCGGGGTAACATTCAAACAGAAGGGGTGAGATATCTAACAATATAATTGAACGTATGATAAACATTATATTAGAATAAGTTCATGCAAAATCACCACTTCACAACTTATAAGCAACAGCAATCACGACAACATATCAACAAAATATAACGATTAATTCATTAACACAACAACTCAAATATACAACATGGAATGCGACTTATTACTATGCATATGTATGTGGTACCAGTGGAACAAAACTCTCAACTTAAAAGTCTGCCAATAAATAGAGGCATCAACAAGACATAAGCCTTCAACTTTATATTTTGTCAATTCAGGCCAACTTAACGAGCATCAACTCCCAACATGATATGATATGTATGCGACAACATGATTAACAGCAACAACGATAACATAAACATATAACGACTTTGGCATAAACCTACAACTTAACAACTGTCAATTATAGAGGCAACACAACAAAATTCATCACCTGCAACTTCAATAATTAATAATAACAACATTACAACAACTTACACATACCAACATTGTTATTAACACGGTCTTACTAAAATACTTCTACTAAATTATTATGCTGATAAGCCTTATTAATAGTTTTCTGCTAAATTAATGAAGCTATTATTTTCCTGCTACTTAAATTATCTTTGCTGCCACTATATTTTGGTTACTACAATTTCTGTTATTTGCTACTAGCTCTGCAACTAAAACCATACCAGTTACTAATTCCGTAACTTATTAATCTTACCTGCTAAATGTCTACTACTATTACTTTCATAAATTACTGCTGCCATAATTTATCATTATACCGTCTTCTATTACTAATTTTCTGCTAACATTTACTAACTCTGTTACATCCATTTCTGTAACTAAATATTAAAGTAACAGACACGCAAGCAGACATAGGAAAACAAACAAAATAAGGTAGCAGACACATGATGTGCCCCTCGGCACACAGGTTGTGCCACTCGACACTTACCTCTCTTTCACATGGTGCCGATCGGCACCCCTATCCTTTCGCCTGACACACTCTCCTTGTGCCGTTTGGGACACACGCCGTACCCCTCGATACAACGGGTTCTCCAATCCCAGATTTCAGTTGGCTACTGATACGAACATAAAATTATCTAAATTTTTCCTCCGATTACAGGTCTCATACCAAAACAATATATATTTGCAGCAACATCAATTTTCACCGAAAACAACAACTTTACAGAGACGATAATTTCTCACAATTAACCATATATATTAATCGTATAACCTCCATTAATCATATTAATCAAAGTTATTACACAATTTTACAGAAAAACTCCCATATAATATTAATCATATATCCAATTATAGAGTCAGAACTCCACCCTTACCTTGGATCGAAGGTTGTTCTATAATTTCTCGATCGAACCTAGCCTTGTGCCTCTTCTCCTTATTCCTCTTCTCTACAACTTGTCACGTACAACACTTCCTCTACTATTTCTCTTAACCCTTTTTAATTAACGTAATTTCTATTATTTAACTAAACTCAATAATATTATTATTTCTATTAGACCTAATATTCACACCCCTTTAATATTACGTCTATCACCAATACAAGTCCAACAACTAATATTATTAATATTCTACAGTTCTATTATTATTATTAATTTTATTAATCAACTAATTTAAGTGACTAATAACAACACCGCAACTTATGTCAACAACTCACAACATAACACAACATGTCAACGATTTCAACAAATAATTCGAAATTAATCGAAAACATCTAATTAAATAATTAATTAAATTAACATGCGTTACAACTCTCCCCCACTTAGAATATTTCCGTCCTCTAAAATTTATCTTATTCAAACAACTTAGGATAGGAGTCCCGCTTCTTGATTCCCAACTCCCACGTCATGCTTTCCCCGGAAGCTCCTAGATAGACTACTTTCACCAAAGCAATCTCCTCGCCTATTAGAATCTTCATTTCCCAATCCGCGATTCGTACAAGCATCATCTCCATAGTGAGATTATCCCGTACTTGAACATCATCCATATGAATCACATGAGATGGATCTGAAATATACTTCTGGAGTTGTGACACATGAAACACATCATACAAATTCGAAAGATTAGGTGGTAAAGCCACTCTATAAGCAACATTCTCAACTCTGTCTGAAATCTGATACGGACCAATAAAACGAGAAGTGGGCTTCTTAGACTTCAACGCTTGCCCAACACCAGTCACATGTGTAACTCTCAGAAACACATAGTCACTTGCTTGAAATTCTAAATCTTTCCTTCGTTTGTCATGATAACTCTTCTGTCTAATTTGGGAAGCTTTCATCTTTTCTCGAATTAACTTCACCTTCTCAGTGGTCTCTTGAACAATTTCAGGTCCAAGCACTACACTTTCTCCCGATTCGTGCCAACATAAAGGAGTTCTA